AACTGAAGTAAAATTTTATAAACATCATCTTTCAACTCAGTGTTGAAAACTAGTTTGACTGTCAAGCAGTGGGTTTCTTAATTTTTGCATGATGGGATAGTAGATTGAAGATTCTACTCAAGCATTGTTCTACTTGTGCCATGCCCTCCTCTAATTTTAAAACCTTTACCAGCTTTTAGCCAATTTTATTATAACTTCTCTTGCGGTTTTGAACATTTAAAGAAGCCCCTGCTTTTTCTATGAAAATGGAAATAGGTTGCATAACCCAAATTGCATTGAATGGAGGTCCCATCTGCAACTTCATGATCGGCAGGGAGACTTCTTCTGGGCAACATGAGATCTTTTTTGTTGGGAGCATCATCTCCACTTCTGTATCCACAGGCCACTGTCACTGCCAACACAGCTGGTGCTGGATGTGTGATCTGGGGGGTTGGTGGCCTTGAGCGCGCGAGTTCCAACCTGAGTTAGCCCATTCGTGGCCAAGTGGATTCTGGTGCTTTTCATTCTACTTTCAGCCTTCATAGCCTAGCAGTTCCTCTTGCTGTGTGACAATTACTTTGTGATGAAATCTTTTTTTTTTTTTTAAAGATTTTATTTATTTATTTACTTGACAGAGAAAGACACAGCGAAAGAGGGAACACAAACGGGGAGTGGGAGAGGGAGAAGCAGACTCCCTGCTGAGCAGGGAGCCCGATGCGGGACTCGATCCCCGGACTCCAGGATCATGACCTGAGCCGAAGGCAGTCGCTTAACCAACTGAGCCACCCAGGCGCCCCTGTGATGAAATCTTATAATAGTTCACTTAATATTTTATTCACAAAGTAGTTTGAATATATTCTCACCTTTACTTATCCTAAGAAGTAAGAAGAGGCAAATATTTTTTTTTTTTTGGATGAACCATAGAAAGATGAAAGTGATTTTGTCCAAGTGAGGGACAGAATTAGGAGTACAAATCCTATTTCGTGAAGATGCCCACTGTCTTCATTTTGTTTTTCTTATGCTGCTGTTACTGTGCATTTGCAAACATGGTCTTGACTTAGGCCTTTTCCTCCTCATCTTTTCTTCAAATATTGGCTGACAGGTTTGTCTGTGGTAGCTTTAAAATAAGCAGATAGGCTACATCCATAGGGCAGACCCACAACTCCTAGCTTTTTGTTTAAACCTTTAATTTCAATTCTTGCACAGAAACTCTTCCTTTCAGCCCACTTACTTCTTTTTCCTTACATTGGGAGAATAGAATAAGGTACAGTTTTTAATAAGATACATTGAAAACTGAGTGCAGTTTTCTTTGAACTTTGCATCTCTAAGCATAGTAGTAGTAGCTCCTTCTTGAATGGGGTTCAAAATTAATTTTGTTTCATTCTGTTGTGCATAGCAGTGACTCATGTAATAAGACTCCAGTGTATTTTGTTCTAGACTTTACCCCTGGGACAGAGGTCTAATTTGAGAATGCTTTTCAGAAGAAGCCATTATTTCGTGTGTGTGTGTGTGTGTGTGTGTGTGTGTGTGTGTGTGTGTATAGCTACTGTTCAGTAGCCTTCACTGCTTACATTTGTATTAAGAACAAAGCTTCACTATACAGGAAAATTGAAATGAGATGAATGAATTATTTTTGTCTTTATCATCCTTCAGGTTTGGCAGTTCTCTACCAGTGAACCAATCTTTTCATCCCCATGTGCCTCAGCATCAGAGCAAGAAATATTTTTTGGTTCCCATGATTGCTTTATCTACTGTTGTAATATGAAAGGTCACCTCCAGTGGAAATTTGAAACTACTTCACGGGTGTACGCAACACCGTTTGCTTTCCGTTACCAAGAAGGTAACAATGGAATGTTGCTGGCAGCAGCATCTACTGATGGGAAACTGTGGATCTTGGAATCTAAGAGTGGACGATTGCAAAGTGTATATGAACTTCCCGGGGAAGTTTTCTCTTCTCCTGTGATCTGGGAATCAATGCTTCTTATTGGATGCAGAAATAACTATGTTTATTGTCTGGATTTGTTGGGTGGCTATCAAATATAATCAAGTTCAGTCCTTATTGAATTATCTGAGACATCTGAAAATATAGAGCATTTGGGTAGTCTTATTTTATACTAAAGATTATATTTTGCCTAAGAAACTTGTCTTTACTATACTTTATTGGATAATGATCATATTTTACTTCCTGTAGGAGCAACAAATGCTTTTAAAAGGTATTATAGGACAAAAAAGATCAATTTATTTAGTACCACTTTCTTTTAATTTTCTGTAATTTCTTTTAATTAGGCTACAGATATGCTACTTTGGATTTTTTTTCTTTTACTTTTTCATAGAAGACTTCTGTGAAAAAGAAGATCAGAGTATACCTGGTGGGTTAAAAACTTAGTCCATGATGTTATGCACCATTTACCTATTTACAGTGATTCGTAACAAAAGGTTCTCAAAGGGATCTTTTTGTCAAAGTAGATTCCTTATTCAGTATTTTTAAATGAACAAAATACCAGTATTATATCTATAGATCTGTCTCTTCCTATGTAGAGTTTTAAGATGATTTACCCTCTTTTTTCAGTTTTTTGATACACAAACTTTAGTGAATATTTTTGTACCTCTGTTTCTCAATTTATTAGATTTTGTGGTTGTAGGTCTCTTTTTGTTCACTGGCTTGGTGGAAGGGAACACAGCGAAAACCAGGAAGGGAAAAAACCCTATATACTCTTCAGTATCCTGATTTCTCATAATATATATGGTTTGGGGCTGGAGCTACTTCCCCAGTCCCAGAGCACTTTGCTCATAGCTGCATCTGCCTGGCATGAAGTTGCCCCCAGTGAACTATACCTCCTCCCGGGAGCCATGCCCTTTCTGCATCCTCGTTCTCTTGTACTTGGACTTAGTCCAAGGTTTGCTTTAACCAATAGAATGCAGTGGAGGTGATACTATTGTCACTTCTGAGCCTAAGCTTTAAGAAGGCCTGGCAGCTTCTGCTTTCATGGGATGCCTGAGCTGCCACCTAAAACGTCTGGCGGCCAGATGGAGAGGCACGTGGGAAGGGAGCGGCCCTGACACTGCGCTATAAAACCCGAGAAAGCCAGATCACAGGGACAGGTGAAGCCCCACACATTTGCCTTCGGCATTCCAGCCAACCCCCAGCTGTTCAGGCTATCCTGATGCCAGACGTTTAATTCCCCACCCACAGGATCCTGAGAAATAATAAAACGGCAGTTGTTTGAAGCCACTAAGTTTCAGGGTAGTATGTTAGGGTAGTAAGTTTTGGGTGGTAGTAGCGAAGATTACTGGAACAGAAGTTATGTGTTCTTTTTTCCCACATCACTTAAATTACTCAAATAGGTGGACAGATGTCTCAGTTTTCTTTGAAATTTCATGATCTAGTTCAGGTAATAAAGCAGCCTTTTTTTTTTTTGCTAGGATATTAGGAATTTAGCCACTAGTGGTAGTAGTAACTATTTAGAGCATATTACATCAGACACTGTGCTAAAGCACTTAAAGTAACAAATGTTTCCTATTGTTTACCTTCCCTTCATCTCTATAGTCAACTGTGGTATCAATTTCATTTGTCCATTTATTCTCCGGTAAAGTCCCAGATATCAAACATGCCAGAATTCTTAGCTGCAAGCTATAGAAGTCAACTTAGGCTATTTTAAGCAGAAAAGAATTTTTTTTTTAAGGATTTTATTTGAGAGAGAGAGCGTGAGCGATGGGGAGAGGGAGAAGCAGACTCCCCACTGAGCAGGGAGCCCGATGTGGGACTCGATCCCAGGACTCTGGGATCATGACCTGAGCCGAAGGCAGACGCTCAACTGACCCACCCAGGTGCCCCTAAGCAGAAAAGAATTTTTAAAAAAGAATATTGAATAGCTTAGAGAATTGGGGCAGGGCTAGAGCTCTACAGCCAGGAACAATTATGCCTGAAATCACCATGACTTTGGCCTGGGGAAGACACAAGCTGCTGTCCTTGAAGCTCTAAATGCTCAAACTGCTAACACTAGACACCGTTCCCCGCCGCTGCCAGACTTCCACACACAGTTGAATTGGGAGATCAATGCAGAGTCTCTTCCAGTTTCAAGTGAAACAGGTTCTGTGCCCGTGAGAGTACAGCAAAGCACGTATCAGGCATTTCATCTGGGGTGGTGGGAGGGGAGTGCAAGACCCATGAGCTGGGAGATTTCCCCAAACCTAGAAGGGGGACTGAGGTACAGACTGGCCAAAAGAACAGCACATCTTCTGCCAAGTTTTAGATCAGTGCTTCTTAAATCTTAACGTGTGTATTAACCACCTGCAGCTCTTGCTAAAATAAAATGCACATTCCAATTGAGAGGGCTGAAAGAGTGCTTTGCTAAGCCATATGGATCCTGAGGCACAAAGACAGACAAATCAGTAATACTGACCCCTGTCTTTATTTAAAATTTTGGTATTTGTTCACAATGGAATTTGTACTAATTTATATTAAGTAATCTCTAAGCCCAACATGGGGCTTGAACTAAGCGATCCCGAGATTGTCACATGCTCTACCAACTGAGCTAGCCAAGTGCCCCAAGTACTAATTTTTATTTTAAAAAAATACTAAAATAGAACAGTATCTTAATCAGTTTTGTGGCACCCAAGGTATGAGGGCCTCACTCACCTCACTCATTGTGCCCTGGTGTATAGGCCTGTAAGTAAGTCAGCAGGTCTGGTGTGGAGCCGGAAGCTGCCTTTCCCACAGGCTTTCAGCTCCAGCCATCGCTGCGGTTCTGCAGCCCACACGTGGAGTAAGGAGGCTGTGTGGTGGTATTTTCTCTGAGATGCAGACCATTCAATTACAATTTAGGATTGAGATAAACATTTTATTTGCCCCTATTCATTACTTTTCTCTACGACATCTAGTCAAAAATACAAGGTAGCACATAAAATGCCTTGAAATGTTTCTTTCTCAACAAGTTATGTAAATATGAGCTTGCTTTTAGATGGTCATTGAAATTGGCAAAAACTTCATCTTGAAAAGGAAATTACATCAATGCTGAAGATCTTGTAGGTATTTTTTATTGAAAGATCATTTCCTTCAATAATGGACATTTTACATTAAACCTTTATACCAAACCCAAAAATCTCAAAATAATATTAAAATCACACTATTTTTCATTGTTGTCTCTACTCAATTTTATTATTGGTAAAAATATGGCAAGACACTTGTAACTAACGTTTCTGCTTTAAAATAAGCAATTAAACTAAATGTCACAAGAAGAGACAATGAATACATACTATAATTTGCTGATAACTGGCTCTAAAATAACTTAATAGTAATTAATGTGTAAGAATTGCACTTGAAAAATTAAAAAAGTAAACAAAAAGCTCTAGTTATATATATATAAGTTTATGAACAGAGGTTAATCTGTTACCTTTGCCAAGAGAAGTGTATGTTTACATTAAAAAAAAAAACTTATATATTTAACATAGCAATTATTCATTTAAAAAAAAGTCTTTTTATAGAATTTCCCCCATAGTTTGTTGATCAGAAAAGACGGCAACACAACTAAAGCAAAATAACACTTCATTGGTATTTAGTGCAAATTTGGTGGAGTTATTTTACATGAAATATTAAACATGTACCCTTTAGAAGTTGCTGGAAGTAAGTGCTGTGACTGTCCTGTCCTCAGTGTCCTCTTTTACGTTTGCAGACTTTAAGAGAAACTTTGTAACTGAGGTATTTTCTCCTACTTCGCACGAGCTCGGTGCCGTGTGAGCCAGGAGCAGTGGGCTCATCTAGGATTCTTCATCAGTGACCCGATTGCTTCCCCTGTTCTCCACCCTTACTGGGGTATTATCCAGAGCTGACAGGATGAAAGAGAAAGTTAAGAAGAATTATCGTAGCACTATAATACCAGGGCTCTAGGTGGAAAGATTCCCATTAAAAAGTGTGTTATGTTAGTAATGAAATCACTGAAAACTGACAAATGCCTATATGTTTGATTTAGGAATGAACATCAGTGTGGAAAACATGCAGTGGAATATTAATGGCTTCCCACAGGAATAAAAGAAAATTATTACACTGATTCTTAACAGTTGGAAGGTCCAGTATATAGACAGTATACTAAGTCCAGCTTGCAGGAGTACAACCGTCCGCGTGACCGTATATACGTGCCACTGCTAACCATGAGGCTGAGCCATGGTTTCCAGAAAAGAAAATGCCTTCTCTGTGGTGAATGGCAGGAAAGCAACAATACATCGCCTGTCAGGTGAGCTCCGCATAGAGGAAAATGATGGATACTGATAAGATGGGTTTTTGCAGGAGAGGGAAAAGGAATGCAGTTCCCCATGCATTGGGCAAAGGATGTATACTTCTATTATGGAGTCAGAATCTCAGAAAAGGAGAATATGCCAACACCATGAAATATAAAGTCAGTATTGGCAACGTGTGGTTGGCTGGGAGGCCTGTGCTTCATGCTTTTGAATCGCCGTGTCCCTTCTTTGGACCACACGGTTGGAGTAGCAAGGCCACTTAAGACTCGGAGATGTTTTCAAAGATAGCAAGGTGAATGCTCAAAATTACAAACGCTATTGAACATTTGACTCTAAATATGAATTACTCGATTATGGTAAAGAAACTTTCCACAGAAGTCCTTAGTACAAAGGCTCCAAATCTTGGCTTCCTGTTAAATTTTCCCTAAAGACCTAAGGGAATACTCGAGACCTTCAATGTCAGTAGCCTCCCCTATCTTGTAGTAAATGTCTGGTTTGGTGGATTGGTTTTTTAATTTTTCCTCCCACTTCTTTGGGTAAAATGAGCCTCCCCTTCAGAGTTTTAAAAGCTAGATTACCCTGGAAGCAGTGTATCCCAAGGTTCTCCTTTGGGATGTATCAGAATTGGTCTGAAGAGTTTTGCCAGAATAGACCTTCCTGGCCCAGACTCACAGGATCGAATTCGGAAGGCAGGAGATGGGGCCAGGACATCTTAAGAACCACTGCACTAGGTGGGGATTCTCAGAGCTGGGAAGAGAATCTGTGGCTTCCTTTCTTCATGATCCTAAATAGAAATGTTCCCTAGGAGCCACCTAGGCCAAATGTTTAGCATGTCCTGAAGGAGAGTACCAGTATGACAGGACCTGTCGGACATCAGTGTGGTGGAAGTGTGAACAGATTCACTTTCTGTGTTACGGTTTCAGATAGGTAGGATTCAGAAAAGCAGACGTGGGCAGAGTTGGCAGCCAGACTGTTAGGATTCCCAGTTACTCAATGCATTCAGGAGAACGGGCATCTTGTTTCTGTCTGTATGACCCCTTCTTTCGCCATTACTGTAGAAAAGGAAAGAAACCACCAAACATATGGTAGGGTAAATGTTCTAGATAAAAGAAGTTGAAGAATCAAAAAGCAAAGATTGGCAAACATCCTGTTCTAAATGGTGTGTGGGTGTGTATGTGTGGAAGGGCTGTGGTAGGGGCATGGTAGGCTCTTGTGAAAAGTTCTTAGTTTGGAGATTTTGCTTCATGTGGTCCCTCGGATGGAATTTTCTCTTGAGAACGAGGAAGAGCTCAAGGCACCAGGACCTAGGATTGTGCAAATACTCTTTACAGGGAATGCCACCGATTCAGTTTCTGAACATTATTTTAGAGCCTATAAAACATGCTGTTTTCCCTAGCGTGGTTTCTTTACCTCATATAAAAAATAAATAACAAGGGCAAGAGAAGAGCCAGTAACTGGCAGTAGGAGTGGATAAAAGTCACTCTACTTAATGATCTGTGGACAGTCGCTCCAGGCCTTGGCTTTCCTTTTGGCCAAAGCCAGCCAGGCTGGTTCTGTTGACACGGGGGCAGCATCTGGGGTTGAGAACCTCTTTGTGACTTCTTTCACCAGCGGCGCGGCAGGGGCTGAATCCGAGATCTCCACTGGATTGGGTTTTGAAGGAAAAGGATAAGAGTAAGTCAGAGCCACATTCTGGTGTATTAGGAGTGCAAGATTCAGAAGGGAAACCCCGGTGAAACACTGGGCATCTTTAGTGAGAAGAATTAGGGAAAGAAAGCAATGTGATCAGAACTACTGCATACAGAATTACAGTGCAGAAGCCTAATTTTTTTGTGCACAGAAGCTATGCCTACATGATAAGAAATAAAAGGTAAATGCTGTGGTTCTAGTTATCCAACCAGTCAGTTCCATGAAGAAAAACATCAAACCAACAGTCTGAATTTATTGAACTGGTGAGGTCAAAACTCACCCTCTCCACCAGGCAGGGCCCGGGGTGCCCCCTGCCCGAGGCCCCGGCTCCCGCCAGCCCTCACCACATTAAGGCTTGCCCCCCAATTCTTCCTGTACCAGACCTTAGAGGCTTCTTAAGATGAAGGATCTGGACTTTGCCCATGGCAATGGCCTACACATGAACAGAACTCGGGAAATACTGATGGAAAAGACAAATATATCAGAACAAAAGTTTGCTTCAGTGAGCTGGAGCCACTCTCTGGCACGGCCACAGAAGTCAGGCAGAGAAAGGTGTGATCTCTGACTTTGGAATTTTATTCTGAAAGAATGATCTCTCTGACACACCCAGATGGTTAGAACCCTCAAGTCTTGGGTGTAAGATCATATGAAATTATGCCCATGAAGGTTCTTGAAAAATTACATAGTGCTCCAAAGTGGTTTTCAAATATAGTTGTTTTTCTCCTCACCAAAATAGTATATAGAGCTTTAAGGGCGAGACCTCTTTACATTTCCATACCCAAGCTAGCAGGTAACAAAGGCATAAAACAGCCTAGGTCTCCAGGGTGGGTGCCCTCTAGGGCCCAGGTGGCCCAGAAGGGAAAACAGACGCCCTGCTAACCCCTGGGAGGAAGCTTGTTCCAACTCCTATCCATCCTTCAAGTGATTTGTAACAAGGAAATAGTTGGAAACATTACAGGATCACTTTAACAGAATAAAGAATCTTTTAAAAAATGTCTTTTGTGTGTCATGAATATATTAACAGCAATGTTTCATAAAGGACTCAGCTGAAAAACCTTGCTCTAAAGTCCTGCTGGTCAGAAACTTGCTATTTGAAATCCCACCAGTGAGTAGACACCGTCCCACTTTTGCCTGGAAACAGGACCCTGAGTCCACTCTTGATCTCAGGTTTGAAATCAACCCCTTTATATACAACTCCTGCTCGGTTCTGAACCCGCCAAAACCCCATTCCACTTACATTTTACCTAAACTTCACCCTTTCCCCCAAATCCTATTATAATCTTGCCTCTTCCCTTTTTTTTTTTTTTTAAAGATTTTATTTATTTATTTGAGTGAGAGAGAATGAGAGATAGCATGAGAGGGAGGAGGGTCAGAGGGAGAAGCAGACTCCCTGCCGAGCAGGGAGCCCGATGCGGGACTCAATCCCGGGACTCCAGGATCATGACCTGAGCCGAAGGCAGTCGCTTAACCAACTGAGCCACCCAGGCGCCCTCGCCTCTTCCCTTCTTGAGATGATTCTCACGGTCTCTAGTCTCCCTCGCAGAAGGAAGTTAATGAACCTCATGTTGCTAGACTAGAGGCAGTGGGGCATGGAGAGGGCTCGTTCAACATGAAGTGATCGGACCAGTTGATAGCACACCGGGAGCTTGAAACTGGCCACAGTGGGAGGATTTACCCCATGAAAACTGTCAAATGCTACAAATCCCAGGTCTCCCCACTCCCTGAAGGGTGACTGTTAGCCATTTACCATCACACCACTGATGGGGAGTCCCACTGGGCTTTACCAGATGAGCTTTCTCAAAGGGTGGCCTTGTGGGGTTGTGAGGCAGCCTGGGCCCTGGAGGGCCACGTGTGCTGACCTTGTACTCACACTCAAGGACAGAAAGCAGCTGCGAAACCAGCCGTGGACCTGCTCTCCCTACCTGTCACAGATGTAGGAAGGGTGTTGGCCTTTTTCAGCTGTTCTCTGCGCTCAAGCCTGGACGCTGCTGTCTCTGGCTTCTTCTCTTCCGGCTGGGCGGTGGGCTTGTGCAGGGACCCCGCCCTGCTCACGCTGCTGCTTCCGGGCTGTGGGCCGACACCGACCTGGGTGGGCAGAGTCAGGGCACATGTGTTGTCAACCTAAGGACGTGGAAAGACTGACCGTGCAAGGCCGTGGGGGCTTCTGCCTGCCGGCCCCCAACCTCTGCTCCTAAAGGAGCAGCAGGGACTGCACGGGGACTGCACGTGGGAGCAAAGTGGGGCCAACCATGACCCCCGCCGTGGAGCAGCTCAGCTCAAAGGTCTCAAAGAGGGAAAGTCACTTTCCAAGGAGAGGCCCATCGAACAGACCATAAAATCAGGGCCACAGAGCAAGACTCCTGATTTTCCTCCCAACTCCCTGCTCAAATAAAATCACTCTCCTATTTCCCGTGTAACTGCTATGTGCATGGACTGCTGCTAGTCGTCACGGATTCTACCAAGTCAGGTTAACCTAAGAGAATAAGGAAACCAAACAAAATTACCAATCAAACACACTTCCCTGGTTTAACGGTGATCAGTTTATTTATTGCTCTAAACCTAAGTATTCTCCACCACTCCTAGCTAGTTTTTTTTTTAAATCCTTGTGACCTAAAAGAGAGCCAAATTCAGGGAAGGCAAAGTTAAAGCTGAAAACCAGGCTACTCACGTTCTCTTTGGCGAGCTTTTCGGCCTGTTTGGCCTCCCTGGCTTGCTTCTTCTCCTCTCGAGTTGCTTGCTGCTCTCGAAACCCCTTCTGCTTCTGCAGTGCTAATGTTATCCACAGTGGCTGCACAGTTTCAACCTTCTCCGCAAGTTTGGAGCCGTCTAAAGAGTGCCTGCTCTGAAGAACCGGCTTTTCTGTGGAAAAAGAGATTGTGGTACTGTGGTTTCTTTTTTTAAAGATTTTATTTATTCATTTGAGAGAAGCAGACTCCCCTGCTGAGCAGGGAGCCCGATGCAGGGCTCAATCCCAGGACCCTGGGATCATGACCTGAGCTAAAGGCAGATGCTTAACTGACTGAGCCACCTAGGCGCCCCGATATTGTGATTTAGAAGAAATATATATTTGGGGGCACCTGGCTGGCTCAGTTGGTAGAGCATGTGGCTCTTGATCTCTGAGTCGTAGAGATCGAGCCCCACACTGGGTGTAGAGATTAAATAAACTTTAAAAAAATTTTAAAAAGAAATATGTATTTGGTCTTTGTGCCCATTTCTAGAGCTCAGAGCTCCTAAAACCCTTGGGATTTCATAAGTGATGACAGCATAAGGTGTCTCTTACTCTGTTAACGAGAGGACTCTGGGACCGACACTAAGGATGCAGCTGGTGGCCAGAGGAGCCAAGCATGTCTGATTAGAGGGGTTGGATCTTTTGTTCCCACCCCCAACCTCCAGGGAGGGGAGAGGGACTAGAGACTGAGTTCAGTCGCCAGTGGCTGATGATTTAATCAGTCGTGCCCACGTAATGAAGCCTCCATAAAAACCCAAAAGGATGGGGTTCAGGGAGTTTCTGCTTGATGAACACATGGAGATTTGAAGGGAGAGGTGTGCTCTGGGCGCAGAGAAACTCCATGCCCTTCCCCATACCTTGCCCTTCTGTGTCATTTCCATCTGACTGTTCCTGAATTATACCCTTTTATAATAAACTGGTCATCTAGGAAGCAAAATGTTTCTCTGAGTTCTGTGAGCTGCTCTAGCAAATTAACTGAACCCAAGGAGGGGGTCATGAGCATCTCTGATTTAAGTCGATCAGAAGCACAGGTGATGCCCTGGACTTGGGAATGGCATCTGAAGTGGGGACAGTCTTGTGGGACCGAGCCCTTAACCTACGGGGCCTGATGTCATCTCCAGGTAGACCGCGTCGGAACGCAGCTGAAACGTAGTGTCTGAGGACTGTCTGGTGGTGTGGAGACCCCCCCCCATCCCCCCGATGGAACTGTGATCAGAACCGGGAAAGGCAAAAGCAGGTTTGCAGTGAGACCACTCACTTCTCTTGATCCCGCACCCCCTACAACTTGTGACGTGAACTATTCAACTGTCCTTTCCTGACCTGAACTCTGCACCGATGCCTGAGAGACTTCTCTGGGTGGGGAGGTAACATCTTTGATGAACAGAAACACAGAAGCATCTTCCTTCCCTCAAAATGGAAGTAAATATAAGATCTCCGGTGTCAGAAAATCTCAGGTCTACAGGTAACCCAGGCTGTTATCTGATTTATTGTTCTTATTTATCGCTTTTTAACCCCAAACATCCTATGCGGAACCCCAATGGATGAAAGAGGTCCGAGGGAGGCTGCTCTACCTAGTGAGGCTGCTGGGGGCACAGGGCTCTGAGGGACGCAACAGGAAACTGTGATTTGGGCCCAGTGCTCTCCTCTGACAGACGGGAGTGTGAGCGTGCCGTGCCCGAGCTCACCCAGCAGTTAGCGCCCCGGCCGAAGTTTGAACCTAGGACTTCCGATTTCCAGTCTGTGCTTTTCTTGTGGCTGACTGCCTTCCCCGTGCACCCGGGGCAGACATGCTGCACAGGTGGTGGGCCGCCCAGGCTGAGTCATCAGACTTTTACACTGAGCAGCCCTGGGTTTGCCCTCATGTCCAACAAAAGCTACTTGAACCTCCCTAAGGTCTTCTAATCCCTAAGTAGAGATGATAATGGCGCATGCCTCATCAGGCTGCCCCGAGGATGAAGAGATCCCGGACGGCAGAACATTCACAACAGTGCTTGGCATAGAGGAACCGCTCCACAAGAGACCTGTTCTGTTTATGTCTATGAGAATCATCCCCTTCTTTTCCCTCAAGTAAAAATCATGCCCTTTTAGAGATCATCATTCTGGCACTGAATGCTTTATTATCTCAAAGGAAAAGGGCTCACTATAGTCCTGTTCTTTAGAAATCCAATAAAAGTTTATACTTTGATGATCCAAAACCTTACCAAACAGGGCTCTCAGTCAACTCGACTTTATATTGAGGAGAAAGAACCAAAGTAAAATCAAATTGGAATTCAAGCACAAAAAAAGGGGCAGGTTCTGCTTTTCTATACCTTTTAGATCTATAACACTGTACAAAGAGAATTCCTATTTATAATGGGTCTTGGTCGTTACACTATCCCTAATCATCAAATAAACATTCAGGTATGATCTAACACAGTAAAGAAAACTGGCACACTTAAGAAGTATTAAAAAAAAAATTAAAGGTATTTTTTTTTTAATTTTATTTGTTTATTCATGAGAGACAGAGAGAGAGAGAGAGAGGCAGAGGGAGAAGCAGGCTCCCAAGGAGCAGGGAGCCCGATGCGGGACTCGATCCCAGGACTCTGGGATCATGACCTGAGCCGAAGGCAGATGCTTAACCATCTGAGCCACCCAGGTGCCCAATTAAAGGTATTTTTAATGAATCTTTAATTAACAAAAAAATTTTAAAAATACAGTTGACCTTTGAACATGGGTTTGAACTGCGCCAAGTCTACTTCTACGTGGATTTTTTTTTTTTATAAACACAGCCCAGTACTGTGAATGTATTATCTCTTTCTTATGGTTTTCTTAATAACATTTTTTCTCCAGCTTACTTTATTGTATGAATACAGTATTTAATGTACAAAATATGAGTTAATCGACTGTTTATCAGTAAGGCTTCCAGTCAGCTATAGGCTATTAATAGTTAAGTTTTGGGGAGTCAAAGGTTATACACGGATTTCAACTGCACAGGAAGTTGGTGCCCCTAACCCCCACGATGTTCAAGGGTCAACTGGTATTCACCAATTCAAGCATTATGCTTTAGATACGCTTTAGATACATGGGAACTAATTTATTTATTTATTTATTTATTTATTTATTTATTTTTTAAAGATTTTATTCATTTGAGACACAGATACAGAAAGAGAGAGCACGAGCAGGGGGAAAGGCAGAGGGAGAGGGAGAAGCAGGCTCTCCGCTGAGCAGGGAGCCCGATGAGGGGCTAGATCCCAGGACCCTGGATCATGACCTGAGAGCTGAAGGCAGACGCTTAACGACTGACCCACCCAGGTGCCCTAACATGGGAATTAATTTAATAAATTGTTTTTTTTTTACTCAAGGACAGTGTAACACCTGTTTGTAAAATGTCTGAAAACCAAATTGCCAAGATCCAAATGATTTCCATTTGAAGCTATCATGTAAAAGGGAATCCTACACTAAACATTCTATCTGAAAGTCATTAAAACCACTGGCCAGTTTCCTGACAACAATTTTGACTGGTGTTTTATCACAAGGGTCAAAATACCTTTAAAGTAGAATTGCCTATTTTTTTTTTATTTGAAAAGGTAAATCGCTAGCCAGATTTTTTATTTCCTTAGAACTGTGGCCCTTGAATAGCACATTCTAGAGTTATGACCAGACTTTAAAAAGGCTATAACACAATATGTGTAAGGGTCTAACAGGTCTGGATTGTAGCTGAGGATCGATAAACAGAAAACGTTTGAGAATGTTAAAACGGGCTCCCGTTTGAATTTCAGCCCAGGTTGCCCAAAGGTCTTCCACAAAAATAGCTCCGACTCTCATATCCTGAAGTAAAGTTCTAGATCACCAACTTCGGACTGGCCCAGACAGCTACCACAAGGTCATAGAAAAGTCATGGGAGAGAAGGAGCCAAGGTAAAACATTTGTTTAAACCTATTCTCTCTCATTCTAAACACAGTGGACAAGGGGAACCACAGGCCATTCAGATTCCCTCCTTCGGGTTCTGGGGATATGAGCAAGTACATCCTGGCCCTACAGAGTTTGAACCACTGCTCCCAAAGGTAATTTCTTGGAGAAAGGGCCACTTAAATATCTATTCCACCCACCATACGGAGGTGGGAATTTCAGAATGAGATGACCTCTAGAGGACAAACACGGGGTGGATTCAGAGTCAAAGCCCTCCCAGTGGCTCCGCCTATGGACTGGTTCTCACTGGCCTCAGCCTTGGGGATGGAAATCTCTTTCTACAGCAGTGATCTACAAAATAAAGGGTGTGTGTGCCCTAGGGGATGTGCAAGGCAAGTCACTGGGGCTAAAGGAAGAAAAGATTAAAATTTCTGATATATTTTTAAATCTAAAAAGAAAAATGAAATTAAGCTTTTCTAATATTTAATATTTAGACTGGCACGGACATCCTCACTCAGGCCATATACCAGAAGGCCACATGGAACAGTGTATTTACAGAGCCCCCGAGGGAAGCTGGAAGCACCAAGTGCAGGGAGGGCAGAGAACTAGTGACGCTGTCCTCCTCACTCCTTTGCTTCGAGCATACTGTGGCCACTAATAATACAAACAGAAGAAACTAGCCGAGCTGCAAGCTCTCTGTGGGCCACTTTATGAAGAAGGCAGAGCTGTCAAGGAGCTGGCCAAAGAAAATAAAAAACAGCACCAGGATTTGCAACACAGATTTATGTCCGTCTGTTGTCTCAATGAACTTCACCCTAAATGCACGCGGCGCTCCAGGGGTTTTAGCTGAGGACAGCACTACAGGTACACAAGTAACAAGTGAAATTGGAGATGCAGGCTTTAACATTTTTATTCTGATGGGGGTGTTCAGTCCAACACACTGGTCAGCCTGGCCTAGTGTGGGGTGGGAAAATCCCAGTGGTCTTTAGACAGCACCCCCAAGGCATGTGGACCTTGCATCCATTGCTTCTTTTCTAGCAAATAAAGAAAAATTCAGTTAGCAGAGCCTAACAGCCCAGAATCTGGACCCTAGGAAAGAAAAAGGAGCAGTAACGGTTTTTGGTAGAAAATTATAATAAAGGGACTTCTCTAGAGAAAGAAGCACAACAGAGAGTTATTTCTCTGGGGAGAAGCTAAGGAGAGTGGTAGAGTCCTCCAGACAGTGAGAGGGACTTTGATGAGATCATAATGTTAAAACTGAAAATGAGGCTCCAGTTCAAGATGGCGACGTAGAAGGACCCCGAACTTCTCTCCTCCCAGGGACACACCCAATATACAGCTACATATGCAACAATTCCCTTTAAAAGAAATCCAAAAACTAGCTGAGCAACTCCTACACATTGGATGAATGAGAAAAACCCCACATGGAAGGAGGTTGGAGAAGCTGAGACGCCATCTCACCATAAACCCATTCCCTGTACAACCCACAACTGGGAGGAAACTCACAACTCCTAGCTTCTCCTTGAGGAGCAAAGGGTTTGGACTCCACATCTGCTACCCCAACTTTTAAGACTTCTACCTAAGAGCCAGGCCCCCCAAAACACCTAGCTCTGAAGGCCAACGGGGCTTGTCAGCACGAGTCCCAGGAGACTATGGGGAACTAAGGGACAGTTCTTACTGGGCTTGTGGGAGGACTCCCGGTGGCGTCCCCCAGGGCCCAGCACAGGCGGAAAACAACACCACAAAGAAAAAACTGAAAACGGGCTACTCATCAGCAGGACAAACAAAATTAGGGAGAAACGGTCCGGCAACTGCTGAGCTACATGCCGGTCTAAGGCTTGGTTAAAAAGGACAATGAGATCTCCCTTCCATAAGGCAAGTAACCAAACCAGCACTGCTGGGGAAACAGCTCTTTTCTCGGCAAAAATCACCGACCACCTAAACAATTCAACGAAGACAGAAGGCTTACGGGTTTCCTAATAAACCTCAGGGGAGAATTTCTCTGAGAAATGGGAGTAACTTCCCGGACTATAACCCGAACCTTACCTCCAACTCTACGAACCCGAAAAGACAAAGTGTTCGCTGAAGGTTCTCGGGGGCCCCAAAGCCAATGCAAGTGCTCACGGCTACCCTGAAGAACGACGAGCGGCGGCCCCGCGCGAGGGCGGCCGCTCGGCCATCCGTCGTAGGAGGCCTCGCCGGGCCAGGCTGCTGGGGTGGCGGGGATGCAGCTGCAGAGCGCTTTGCGCGAAGCTGCGCCCAACGGGGTCATCCACACCCAAGCTCCTCAGGCGGCGGCGGCGGCTGCAAGTCCCGACCTCCCAGCGGGGCGCCGCTACTGCCCAGGGAGAACGCGACTCGTCCGGGAAACCGGTCTTCCCCGTCCCCGCCGGGGCCCGCCCCAGATTAAGGACGTCGTGGCTCATTAGGACCGTACTGCAGTTTCCGCTGTCAAGCGAAAGCGTGTCCGTCTCAGCGTCAGCACCTGGACCTAAGTACGGCCAACGGTGCGAGCGGCACACATGTGGCTGTCAGCACCTCCAAAATTCCGAAGCAGAGCAAGAAAAGCGCCTCGGGACTCGGGAGAGGGCCTCCACCGGAGGGGCTGCTCGGGCACGCGCCGCTCCCGGCTCCGCTCCCGGGGCAGCTCAGGCTTCCGCCGTGACCCTCACGAGGCGCTCGGCACAGACCGAGCGATCCCACCCACCCCAACCTACCTTTCCTCGCGGCCTCGGGGGTCTGGGAAGGCTTCTCCGGCCGAGCGGCCGGCTGGGCCGGGGAAGCGGGTTTGCGCTCCGGTTCCACCACTTCCTCCTCCTCCTCCTCCCTCTGGTGCGCCCGCCTCGGCTCTGCGGGCGGCGGCGGCGGCGACGGCGGCCGGGGGTCACTGCTCTCGGGCGGGTCCGGCTTCCCCGCGCGGCGGGCCAGCAGCTCTACCAGGTAGGGCCTGCTCAGTTTGGAGAGTGGGGACGAGGGGGGCGTCTGGCCGGCGGGCTTGGGGGCCAGCGCTGGCTTCTGCGCCGGGGGCGCTTTGGTGGCCGCCTTGTCGTGCTCTGCGGCGGGGGTGTGGTTGCCGGCCGGCGAGGCCGCGGGAGAAGGGTGGGCTCTTGCGGCCGAGTCCTTCCAGGCGGACAGGGCTGGCTTCCTCTCGGCGGGCAGGGCCGGGCCATGCTTGGGGGCCACGGCTTCCGTCTCCTCTCCTTTTGCGCTCCCTGGTGCGGGCGGGCCGCCATCGGCACCGTCCCCGGTGCTGCTGTGCCTTTTCTTCTTCTTCTGTTCTGTCTGTTGGTCGCAGTGGAAGCGCAAGGAGTAGTTGGTCCTTCTCAATTTTATTCCGAAAGGTGAGGCTTTTTCCTCCTGGCCAGGCATCGAGGGGTCCGGCTTTCCTCTCCCGCTGGTGGTCTCACTGTCCGCAGCGGCCATGGTTTCTGCATGGGCCACGGCTTTGTGAGGCGGGTAGGCAGGGCTTGGGACAAGGAAAGACGGGAGGTCTTTGGCAAATTTGCACCCCTCTGTGGTGTCTGCTGGCTCTGGTTTCTCCGCGCCCTTGGGGAGCTCGTTAGTAGCCAGGGGCTGGGGGACCGAGCCGTCGCCGGCTCCCGGCGAGGGTCTTTTTCTAATGCTCTCTGCTTCTGTGTTCTGTCTGGAGGTCTCGGTGCCACTGTCAGAGAATTTCTGCCAGGCAGGCATAATAGAGAACTTCGCACTTACTGGGGGGGTCTTCCGGAGGTTCCCGCGGGAATCACTGCGGGCCCTGGGAGCGTGCTCATCACCCGGCCGAGACCGGCCCCTCTCGCTGCGCGGCTCACCCTCCGCGCTCTTCAGGATCCTGGACCGAATGGACGCCCACTCGGCTAGCGCGGCCACACTGCTCGGAGACTCCTGGGGGGCCCTGACCTTCCCGCTGCCTGCCCGGGGCTCAACAGGCGCGCGGGCTGCGCTCTCCAGGGCAGGGACATCCACGTGCTTCTTTTCTTCTGACAAGCCCAGGAGAGACTTGCATGCCGTGTCCTTGATCTGGCTCAGGTTGACCGCCGCGCCGCAGAGCTGCGCGCCCGTCACCAGAATGGCTGTGTGGGGGACACTCAGGGAGGAGTGCAGGGCGTGGGCGGCCGCGCTGGCTCGGGGGGTCTTCGGCGCGTGGGGAGCGGAGGCCAGTCCCACATCTCTCACGGGCGTCACTGGGCTCAAATTGACTCTGGGGAAGAGAATCTGTTTCCCTCCCGATGACACCTGGAAAGTGTAGGGCCTGGGCATGCTCTGCCTCTCGTCCACTTCCTGCCACCGGAGTTCCTCCCCCTTCCTGTCTTTTTCTGGGGCGGCGGCGTCCTTCCCCTCCCCGGGAGCCTCTTCCACTTGCGCCTCGTGTTTCTGGGGAGGCTGCGCGCTAGTTTCTGGTCTCTCTTCCGGACGTGCACGACGGCCATGCCCAGGACCAGCACCGCGCCGTCCCTGCGGCTCGCCGGCTGCCTCGGCCTCCTGACTCTGCTTCTCGCAAATCCTGGATTCCTCGGAGCTTTCCCGTTGCTTCTCGGGCTGCAGGTGCTCTCGTTTCCCAGGTTTCTCTGCCAAGTCCACCTGATGTGGGCTCAAGCCCCTTTTGTCGTCCAGCTGCTGCCACCTCTCCTCGCGCACTCTCGCGGCTTCCCGACGCTCCGCTTCCTGCCGCCTCGCGGCCTCCACTTCCTCCCGCTTTCCCCGCTCCGCCCTTTCCTCGGCCGCTGCCTCCGCCTCCCGCCGCTGCTCCTCCTCCCGCCGCCGCTGCTCCTCCCGTTCTCGCTGCTCCTCCTCCCGCCGGCGCTGCTCCTCCCTTTCCCGCTGCTCCTCCTCCTCCCGCCGGCGCTGTTCCTCTTCCAGCAGCCGCTTCTCCTCCTCCCGCCACCGCTGCTCCTCTTCCAAACGCAGCTGCTCTTCTTCCCGCCACCGCTGCTCCTCTTCCAGCCTCCGCTGCTGCTCCTCCTCCCGCTGCCGCTGCTCCTCTTCCAGCCGCCGCTGCTGCTCCTCCCGCCGCCGCTGCTCCTCCCTTTCCCGCAGCTGCTGCTCCTCCTCCCGCTGCTGCTGCTCCTCCTCCCGCCGCCGCTGCTCCTCCTCCCCGTGCCTCCTGAGCTCCTTCAGCTCGCTTTCCTCCTGTAGCTGCCGCTGCTTCTCCGCCTCCTGCCCGCTGCACACCGCCTGCTCTTGGGCCTCCGGGTGCCTTCCTTCTTCTTGCTCCCTCGGCTCTTGGCCTTGGCCACCTTGCTCTCCCAGTCCCTGCCTCTCCTCTTCGATTGGCCTTTTTTCTGCCTCCAGCTGCAGTTCTGTCTCCTCTCCCTGCTCGTCCTCTCCTTCCTCCTCCAAGAGCTCTTGGCTTCTGTTCTCTTCCCAAAGCCTCCTCTCCAGGGCCTGGAGTCTCTGCTCTTCCAGACGTCTCCTCTCAGCTGCCTCAGCCTTCTGCCGTTTGCACTTGGCCTCAAGTTCTAGCCAGTATTCTTCTTGGCATCTCTTCTCTTCTTCGGAGTCCAGCAGCTCTGGTTCCTCTTCGTGCCAAACTGGCTTGTCTTCTCCAGCGTGTCCGTTCTGGTCCAGGGAGGGCTGATGCGGAAGGCCACCGTGTTCATTTGGTCGATCCTAAGGAAAGAAAGACTTAGCCTTTTCCTTTAGCACAGGCAACCATTACCCACCTTATTCATAATGTCGGTGGCCCTCTTAATCTCAAAAGAAGGGGCAGTTGTTCCTAAGTATAGAGCTCGGTAAACACCAAGAGCAAATTGCCAGGGTGCAGGAAAACACATCCACTTCATGTTGACTCTCTAGCCCCTTTGTTGGTCATTCTCAAATTCCTTTTGCTTAATACAAATGAATCATAGGAGAACCAATAGCCCAGCATGAGGAAGATGAGAAAAAATGACATTTGCACTTCATTGATGTGCCCTGGAACCTGTGACTTCAAAGTCCACCCCAGTCAAACCAAAGGACCTCTGGCTGAGCCACAGCAGGGGAGCTGGGTCACCTGGCCGGGGCGAAGCCAACACCAAGTGTCCAGAGGCCCTCAAACGGCAGCCTCTCATTCGGGGGTCCACCAGCCCCCAGGCAGGCAACATGTTAGAAAGGGCGATGGAAAGTAAAGGGGCCTGCTTGCCCTCGTTCACTGCAACACACCAGGTCCCCGATTCGAGGGACCTAGTTCGTTCTACTGGCCCCTCACGGCACCACCCCACTGGGTAGAATGGGCGCCCAGCAAGCACGGGCAGCTGCCTGGTCAGCTGCGACAGGCTCTACATACCCTGGCAAGCCGCCGGTGCTTCTTGGACACCCTCTGGTTTTTTGGCTTTACGGACAATTTGTGTTTGGCGGCACTGTTGTCCAGGCAAGCGATGGCCAGGGGGATGGCATCTAGGTTGACACTTTCGATGGTTCCAGCAGAAGAGAAGTGCCTTTTTGGCCGAGACGGTTTCACTGGAGCCACCTGTATGGAGAGGAAACCACACAGTCCCGATGAGAACCGCATGCGAGGAGTCCCAGAGCCATTGCCCTTGCTCGATGGAGCCTGCACGTTGCCCGGCCCGGCCCAGGGACGGCTTCGAGTGGGTGGGGCTCACTGGGACAGTGAGATGAGCATGGCTTTGGGAATTAAAAGGGGACACCGACGATCTGTTCTGCCAGTGCTATTTGCATGAACTCAGAAAGGTCAGGTAACCTTTCAGGGGCTAGTTTTCCTACTCTGAATAACATTGGGGGGGAGGTTAGAGTAGATGGGGGGGGTGACCAAACATAGCCAGGGGACCCAGTCCTGCCCACAGCCTATTTTGGTAAATAAAGTTTTGCTAGCACACAGCCACGCCCATTGTCCATTGTCTCCAGCTGCGTTTGGGCTACAAAGAAGAGCACAACAAAGGAGAGTGTCCTGGTTGGACCTTATGGCCACAGAGCCTGAAATAAGTCATAGTTTGCTGAACCCTGGACCAGCTCATCTCTATTCTAAGGACTCTATCATCTAAGACATGACCTCAGACACCTGCAAACATCCCTCAGCTTCTACCTTAGTCCTTTTGAGGAGGGAACGTATCTTTTTCCTCTTTTCAGTCCTCTTTATGCCCACGTAGCAAATCTCATTTGGCAAGTGCTCAATACATATTTTTGGGAGGAATGAAGGAACAACAAAAAAGTAGATCGTCTATGCCTGGGGCATGAAATTGCTACCCACAAAAATGTTCTAGCACAGTCACTCCAAGGCCACAGAGCACTGGGTTGAGTGCACCAAGCCGCTGAGAGGGGGAGGCCCTGGTGGAAAAAGGAAGGGCAGCAAGGTACCAGCCAGGGGTGAGGGCTGTCCCTCAGACGGCGAACGGCAGCACTGTAATGCAGATGCGCGCACTTAGGAACCACCGCCAGTTAGACAGGTCAGAGAGCCCCAGCTCAGCCGGCTCCCGGAGGCCACACTGAATGGGAGGAGAAGCCACACCTGGAACTACTGAGAATTACAGGCCGCAGCAAGGGGACGGCTCCCAGCGCGCGGCAGAGGGCGCTCTCGGCCCTCCCTGCGGGGCCAGCAGCGCCCAGCACAGGCGCCCCAGGAGCCGAGGCCGGCGTCCGTGTGTCAGCATCCACGCTACCGAGGCAGAGCCGGTGGGGCTTAGCGGACGGCTTTGCTTGTTGCAACTACCTTCCATATTCATGCACAAAAGATAAAGGACCAAGCCAGCTCCAAGAGCAAAATGGATGCTCAGTAAATAGCTTAAGAAGCACAGAAGTAAGGAAAAATAATTCCAGCCTTTGGGCTCCTAGCTTTTATTTCTCTATAGTTATCTTTCTAATAGTTACCAAATTCTGAACTCTGGTTCAAAAGAGATGAATCAAACATTTATTTTCCTTCCCCTAAGAGATGGATGAATAAAAAGCGTCTGAGCCAAATGTGACAGACTGAAGGCACAGAGAAGCACTTGAAGCTGAGATTTAAATGCCAGGTTGCATTTCCAGTGTATTCCAACCGGGCTTCTTCATTGTCTGGGTGGTGGCACTGTCTGCAGCCATCCCCCTTCGGAAGACTCAGGGACATACTCTGCTCACTGTACCAGCCCCCATGAGGAGGCCTGGAGCCCCGTGCAGGTGAAGATTGCTCGTGGGAGTGGACCGGCCTCTACAGGATTCCCGAGACTCCTGTAGGCACAGTCCCGGGATCAACTGAACACCAGAAAAGTTAAAAAACAAAAACACATACAAGTAGAGAAAAGCTGAGGGTTTTTTTTTTGCATCTCTAAATAGAAGGAGACTCTTTTCCTGAAGGTACAGGTGTTCTGGAATGTCTTTTTCAATGGCTTAACAGTGTCTGGAAGGACCTGGCACAGTTAGGAAGATGAGCAATGTCTAAGTGTGCAAATATGTGCAGGCTGGGAGGTGGCTATTTTTCCAAGCGGGGCTCAGTACCAGCAGGTGCATAATGAACACTCTAACATCTACCACTGGTAACGTTCTGAAGGAACTGAAGGTAATGGGTGAAAGCAGCATTTACGAATGGAAAAATGAGACGGTGGGTCGACAAAAGGGGGGGGGCGAAATGGAAGTTAAAGACACTAAAAACAGAAGTTGAAGTCATACTACCTTCTCTTCCATCTCACTTCTGGCTCCAGGCCGATTCGGAGGACTCTGAGAACTTGGAGTGTCACTGGGCTGGAACAGTAAAGAGAGCGCTGCAGTCAGATGCCGGAACAGGAAGTCCTGGGCAGATAAGCGGACTCCTGCTGCGCGTGGGAAAGGTGGGCGTCCCGGTGGGGACTCGGCTAATGTCCCAACTAGGACTCCCGGCACGGAGTGTACACTGTCTTCTTTTCCTGAGTTCAACACATCTCCGTCCGGGCAGCCTCTAGCCTCCATCTTTGCTGCGTTTCCCCAGGGCTGAGGGAGGCCAGGTGCCAGCCTCTCGCCACCCCACCTGGGAAGCAGGGCTGGGTCACACACCCGGCCTCCGACCTCAGAGCTTTTGGCCGTGCCCGCTGCCTTCACCCCCTTCACCTGCAACACCTCTCACCTCTACACCAGGCCTTTTCTCTGTGGGAAGGAAAGGCCCTACCAAAGCTGCGCGCAAAGGGCTGGGCTGAGAAGGTGGATGACCAGAGGAGGCAAAACCCTCAGCATGGAAGGAAGAAGAAAAAGGCTGAAGATCCCCAGCCCAGTTGCCTCACCTGCCCTGGGAAGGCCCACACCACGTCGCCTGCCCCTGATGGCACGCTGTACCTTCTACCTGGCATGGCCCATCTCTACAAACAGGTGTTATGATCCCCTCCGGAGCAAGAGTGTCAGCTTCCGTACCTCAGCCTGTTTTCTGCACCACACTTAGAAGCACCTTTAGAAAATACAAATCAGGCGCTTGGGTGGCTCAGTTGGTTGGGCGTCTGACTCTTGGTTTCGGCTCGGGTCATGATCTCACAGTCGTGGGATCGAGCCCCGCGTCAGACTCTGAGCTGAGCTGAGCGTGGAGCCTGCTTGGGATTCTCTCTCTCTCCTCCCTCTGTCCCTCCCCCCCGCTCATGCTCTCTCACTCTTCCTCAAATAAAAATAAAATTTAAAGAAAAAAAGAAGAAAACACAAATCAGATTATGTCACCAACAGGCTTAAAATTCTACTTCTCTCAGAATAGAATTCACCTTTTCCCGTGGTTTATACAATCTGGCCTCTATACCTTGCTCTATCCTCCCTTTGCCCCTCTCCAGGGTCTGGCCGACCGCACCAACCTCCCTTCTTTTGGGACACCTTCAGCCCCATCTCTGGGCCTCCGTACTTGCTCTTCCCTCTGCGGAGAACACGGCTCCCACCCCAGGTCTGTTCAGGCTGCTCTGACTTCCTTGTCTAGAGAGCGGCCCCTCACCCACCACGTTACTCACTTTTCCATCACTCTGCCTGACCTCCTGTGCAGCATTTTTCGTGAAGCAGTTATTACATTTATTGTATAAATAAGTTATTATATTTATACGTATGTGTTGACTTGCCACGTGACTCTCCGCTCATTAGAATGTAAGCTATGCGGAGGCAGCCCCCAGGCTAATCTCGCTCATCTCTGCAATACCCACAGCTGGGGCAGCACCTGCAGACCACCTGAGCCTCCTTCTCCCTCCAGCCACGGTCCCTGGCACTTATTAGATCCTCAGGAACAGTGAGGACATTTGCTTCAGTCCTTGGGAAGTCCGTGCATGAAGGCTGATTTTTGTCACTGCCGCCTAGCCCTGGAGATGCTGGACCTGGTGGGAGGGCTGGCCCCATCCTACTTTACCCACCACACCACCCGCCACCCACATGTCTGGGGACCAGGAGTCATGAGGGCCAGAGGCAGACGGGGGCAACAGCGGGGGAATGGCCTGTTCTTTCCTTCCTCACTTTGCCCTGCAAATCACTTCTCTTTCTTACTGCCCTTATGACACATTAGCTGATAGCAAGGATGACTTCGGGGGGCACGTCCATTTTAACAACAGCAGTGTAATTTCAGACGCCTTGCTAGGCAGAGCACAGAAAATGCTTTCTGTTGAGACTGGAAGATTCAGTGCCTCACCTAGAGACCTCCCTGCTCCAGCCGCTGGTGGGGCCTTCCCTCCTTCCCCACTAGAGGCCCGAGGATGTCCCCTCTGCTGCTGGAAGGACTCTCATTCCGGGATACCCTCATGGTGTTTCTTTCCAAGTGTCAAAAGACCAAATTCAGAAAGTACAATGCTGAACCAATGTGACTTTCTTCACTCATTAAGTAGACTTCAAGCTGGCCTGTTTGATATGTTCTGTCTCGTTCGGCACCTACTTCTTTCTTTTCTCATCTCCCTTTAAATTAGTCCAATTTGACAAGTAATTACTTGGTGCTACTAAGTAAGGCACTAGCTGAGTCCTGAGGAGACAGAGATGTGGAAGACCCAGTTTGTCCTCAGGGAATTCCACATTTAGAGATGGAGAGAACACAATTACACGGACACGGATGAGTACGGGTGTGTGAGAAGCACAAAGGACGCAGAGCAAAGACACAGAGGAGAGAGGACCGCGTGGGGGTAAGGCCAACTAAGGCTTCCCAGAAAAGGTGGACCCACCTGAGTCTTGAGGAGTAAGTGGAAGACGCTGTGAGGCGCACCTGTGAAGGGCCCGTCTCCTCTTCCCCACCCCCGCCCGCCCCTCCAAGTGCGCCTCCCTGCAGCTCACGGTGCCTGACCACGAAGTGCCCTCCAGCCCAGGGCTACTCATCAGAAAATCTTCTCTCACATATTCCCTGTACAGCAGACCCCAGAGTTACTGGATGCCCCTGGCCACTGCCCAACGTCCTCCCCTCGCTTATCAGCAACCAAGTCATTCCTTGGAGGAGCCTTACTTTGTTCTCGGTGTCTGAGAGGATGATGTCCTCTTGAGTCACAATTTCCATGGGACTGGTCAGGAACAGATCCTCTTCTAAGCTAGCCTCACCACCATCTGCCTTCTTCATGGGAATGGCATTGGGTGGTGGCCGCCCAAACTTGATGTTTTTGCTCAACTGCCGCTGGAGAAAAACCAAAGAAAATGTTCTGAAGCAGGGAAGCAGGTCACGAGAAGCGCGAGCAGATGCCCCGGCATATCTAGTGGGCACCGAGGCATGTTCTGCACACATTTCTAGACTAAATACCATGCCAGTAAGCCATGATGCGGTCCTGGAACAAGTGGATTCTTCTGGTTTCTTTTCCTTTCCCACCCTCAAGCCATGAGCTTTTTCATCCAGCCACCTCTTTCCCGGAGATGCCAACATTATCCAGGGGGCAGAGAGACCACATTTCCGAACCAAAAGTGGGGATACGTGTTATGACAAAAATTTTTTGATTAACCCTATAAATGTATTTATTAAAAAGTCTTTTAAAAGTATAAAAATGGTACAGAAAATAGTTACGTGAAATGCAGGAACCACTGGGGGAAATCAAGACCCACATGGTTGCTATAAAAAGGGAACCCTCCAGCTTCTTTTGGACATGTTCTCCTTGAATATTTACGCTTTAGCCACCTTCCTCCCCAGCCCCTCGCTCGAACACCATGTTCTTCTCACAATGGGCAGGAAGTTAAGGAGGCCCCAGTGCTGGCAAGTCTTTCCACAATCAATGAGGAAATCATGGAAGGCACAGAACAATCCTGTCCTGTCCCTAGGACTCTTTTTGCCCTGCTGCAGCTAGACACTGTGAGCTGTGAGACAGAAGGGCTGGAGAGGCAGGCAGGAAGAAAGGGCCAAGGAGGGATGCATTATTGGTAGCAGGTAGCTAGAAGGGTGTGTGTGGGGTAAACGGGGTAGAAATTAGGAAGATCAATAGTGTTTAGAATTAGAGAAAAGCCAGATTAGAAAAGAAATATATTCTCTGAAGAAAAAATATATAAATATAACATTAAAGAAAGGGCAAAATATTTAATGGGTTGTGGCAGAGAAAATGAACATTCAGGAAGAAAAAAGGGTATGCCATGGCCACCTGAAGGACCATTGAATTAAAAATACTGTAGAAACGCCTGCCTTTTTCTACAGCAGGGTTCTCAACCTCGCCCTACTGGCATTTCGGCCACATCATTCTCTGCTGTGGGGAGCTGTCCTGTGCGTTGTAAAATGTTTAGCAGCAGCACCCTGGTCTCCGGGCACTAGATGCCAGTAGCAATTCCTTCCCTGTCGAGACAACCAAAAATGTCTCCGTCGGTTGCCCGATGTCCGCTGCGAGGATAAAACTGCTGTGGCTGAGAGCTCCTGCTCTAGACCTACGGACTTGGGCTTCATAGTCCTTTTGTGCCGGAAGGAAGGAAGGAAGGAAGGAAGGAAGGAAGGAAGGAAGGAAGGAAGGAAGGAAGGAAAGAAGGAAAGGAAGGAAAGAAGGAAAGACAGAAAGAAAAGAAAAGAAAGAAAGAGAAAGGAAGGAAAGGAAGGAAAGAAGGCAGGACGGAAAGAAAGAAAAAGAAGGAAGGAAGGGAGGGAGGGAGGAAGGAAAGAAAGAAAAAAAGAAAAAGAAGAAAGAAAGAAAGAAAGAAAGAAAGAAAGAAAAGAAAGAAAGAAAAGAAAGAAAGGAAGGGAATGCATTATCTGATATTTATCTTTAATCTGGCTAATATTTAATCCCATAGAGCCGCAAAGAGCCTTAGCAATCACATAGTCCAGCCCCTCATTTTATAAAAAATGTCAGAGGTCCAGTGGGGAGAGGTGACTGGCCCAAGCTTATGGAAAGAAAGTGTGGCCCCAGAGGGATTTGAAGCTGGGTCTCCTAAAACCAGAGTCAGTGTTATTTGCATCGCATCCCACAGGTTCTCACAAATTTGACATTGCGCTTCTTTCTTCCTCTAGGGGCGGAAATAAAGATGATGCAGCATTTTTAAGACCTTGTCCAAGTTCCCTGGCAGGGGAATCCCTTGAGGGAAATGCCCCTTCTGAACTCAAGGGTACTAAATCCACCCACTCGTGCCCAGCTCCCCCTCGGCCCTGCATGGTAGACAGTGAGACTGCAGAGACATGGAAAAGATGAGCCCAAGACCGCCATCCCCACACCCCAGGGCACCCCAGCATGCCAAGTCAGGAGCACAGAAAGACAGAGGACTTGTATTTGATCTGCTGCTATTTCAGCCTGAGCCTGGCTCCCCTGGCACCACAGGGAAGGAGCACACATTAAAAGCCCCAAATTCAGCCAGTGAAGTACAGCTTGAGCAGCCTGAAAGGGTTTTGGGGAGGAGAAGCCTGAAAAAGGTGTCTTCTCAAAACCAGTTTAGCAGGAAGCAGCAGTTAGTATCTACTCTAAGCAGATCAATAAGCAGGCACAGTTAGAGCAGCCGATGGAGCCAGACAAGAGGACACGGTGTAACGGAGTCACAGGCCCGTCTCACTCTGCTGACCTGTGGGAGGGGGGTCGGGACCTGGGCGGAGGAGGTGGCATGGTTCCTGTGTCCTAGCGAAAGCCCTAGCAGGACCTCCCTCTGGGACTCCCAGCCCAGCCTTCGGTCTACCAGTTATCCCTGCTCTAGGAGTGTTGGCCGAGAGCTGGAAAGTGTTCTAAATCCCCTTAGACTGAGACCTCCTGTTGTCAGGTCTGCCATCTCTCAGTGCTCCTGAACGACTAAAATGAGGGTATTTCTTCTAGTTATAATAGAAAGAATAATTCTTTAACGAGTTTCCAAGGAGAACTTGGCCTAACAGTCAATGCCAGTTAGGGGTTTTTGCCACCATCACAAAAAAAGAATGAATATGCTGATATTTTTCTTCATTAGGGCACCTTTTAAAATACTGATGTTGGTCCACCCTGATGCTTAAGAGACAACCAAGCATATGACACAATGTAATCGCAGCCTAGATGGAAATAAGCTCCAAAGATAGGATGACTGTTATGGTGAGCAATGGAAAAACTACGAGAGAATGGAAAGAAGAAATCGATGGAATAAGAACAGGAGAAATAGGGCACACGGGGACGAGGCTGGGAAGTGGAGAGGGTGGTGTTAAGAGCTAAGTGGAGAACGATATCAAAGAGGTGAGCTGAGAAGAGGGTGCAGGGGCGTGGGCCTGGCAGCAGGTACCCAGCTGAGGGTGGGGAGAGAGGGAGGGAAGAAAAAGTGGAGGGCGGGAATGAGAATGTGTGTGTATTGAAGGGATGATTTATGTCACAGAGATGTGCATCCTGGCAAAAGAAACACAATGCTGTTGTCTTTGAGAATAACAGTGTGCATTTCTGTAAAGCCGCTGATTTAAAATCCTTCTAGAAAAAAATAAATTCAGGCTGGTGGCTACGAGCTTTGGGGGATGGAGGAGGGGGGGACCTGGGTCATCACAGAAATGCTGGCCGCGTTCAGGGATCGAGCTGCAGCCTCTCTGTCCAGACAAAGGACTGCCTTCCTAGACACACACACCTGCAGCTGTCAGGGATGAGACCGCAGAACTAGGCCAGGGTAGGCCTTAGGGTCCAAGACCACAGTGACTGAGCCTCAGCTTCTCAAGGCTGAGGCTCCTGCACCTGCATGTTTTCCCTCCCTGCGGTTCCTGCTCCAAAGGCTTCCTTCAGCTGACTCAAAGGAGATAGGGCTGTCAAGGCACTGTGTGATTTAACGACAATTAAAAGGTGACTGCTGAAACCCATTTGGCAATCTCGGGTGTCACGTGACTTGAATGTAGGGATCAGTGTGACTTTTTTTGTGACTTTAGTTCTGTCCACTACTCAAGGCATTGTCATGAGAGGAACTTTGATAGAAGCAATCCCTGACAACCGGCTGTTCGGACGACCACTCCCTCCACCTTCTCTACTACCCAAGGGCCCTTTATCTACACAGCAAGCACAGCCGGACGGGAGCGGGGACACTGCGCCTACAGCGACGGGCCACGCCGCCTGCTGCTGTGAATGGGGTTACTGTGAGGACTGGAATGTGAGCTAAAAGGGACTACATTTTACTCATTCAAATTGGGCCATTTTGTTGTAATATGGAATGCCAGAGAATGATGTTATAGGAATGCACATCCATATTTATGAGGCTTTTTCCTGTGGTGTGGGAATTCCAAGCACATCATATTCTGCAGCTATCAGACTGCCAGTATTTAGGTTCCCCCAGATTTCTCACAGCCACCCTTTAGACCATGGCCGTGAGAACAAAGCTGAGGAAAAATGAAGTTGCTGTTCTCTTGAGTGAACTACAGATACACCCATAGTGAAAATGAATTTTTAAAGAGAGGCAACAGAAAAAGCATATAGATTTAAAGACATCTGCTCTATGCAGAAGCGGCTAAGAACGGGTATTTAGTCTTTGTGTCCTTGACAGCAGCATGAGGTGTCAAAATCCTCCAACATATGACACTTCAGCATTTTTAAGTGAAATCCAGCTCCGCAGGAGTCAGTGGCTACTGAAAATGGAGGCCTTCCCTCCGGGGCTAAATAGTCCGTGGACTAACAGAGTTAGCATTTTCTGACAAAGGTGTGGTATAATTCTAAAAATCACCTGCAGGCTTAGACTCTGATGTTCCTGCCTGAGTTTTATCATCAGTTGTTACCCACTTCATAGTCTGGGTCTGATCTGAAATAAGCAGGCGTCTCCCTGGTCTGTGATCTGGGCAGCTGTAAGGAACATCAAGGTCACTGCACTCCAAATGCAACCACGTGTGAAGCTTACCAAGCCACTCCGTGCTACAGCAGGTGAGCAGTGATTTCGTACAGATGGCAGACTTTAAGAACTGGAGGGGCCAGATCATCCATCATATTCATCCCCTTATTTTTCAGATGGGGATGATGAGGGTCAGAGAGGTTCAATGACTTCCCTGGAGGCCACACAGCCAGGTGGTGGGGAAGGCCCGGCACAGAATTTTTATTTCACCCATGGCCATGGAACAGCTGACTGGTATGTGTACGGTCTTCAAAAAGGGCATCACTGTTGTTCTGGCCCCTATAACTCTCCTGTATATTAGAATTTGTTCTCCCTACAAACATGTAGTATTTTTATACTCAGGAAAAAAAGAGTCATTTTTCTTGTAAAGGTTCAATGATTTGCCACAGAAATTTTGGCAGGTGATAGATTCACTTGATTCAGAAAATGCAGGCTTATTCACGCTGCATTCATTCATTCTGCACTCAGTAGATAGGTTCCAGACCACCGCGGTGCCACGTTAGGCCGGCCGGCCGAGCTGGGATGACCATGTGTGGACACTAGAGGGCAACCTTTCCAAACGCAGTCAGTACGCGCACAGTTCTGGGGGTTTCCGAGGGCTGGGAAGTTTCTTAGGCCAGAGAAAAATGGCTTCCCCCCCACCAATGGCATTATGATAGAAATCTCATTTCAAAAGAATGTCTTAATAATGGTGGCTAATCAGCCTGCCAGGACGTCCACTGTCAAATAGGTATCCGTGACTTTTCTCTCTCTCTGTTTTTAATAAACATACATACATACAGACACAAACACGATATTGAACATAAAAAACATACATGCGTCTGACATAACTAACACCCTCATTCCATGCTGGAGTCTACGAGGGGGCGGTCTTCTATGCTGCTTACTAAGCATCAATACCAGCATAACGTTGTCATGGAAAAATGCAAAGCATTCATGCAAGTTAATAAAGTTAACTACTATTTCTATGACTTACCAGGAACATACTGCTTAGTCGACTGAAAAATAAAGCACAGTCTTTTGGGGGTGATACAGTTATATCTTAATGTCACTCCAAAAATCACATTTCTACGATAATGGTCCCCATTTCCCTCCTCAAAGAGCAAAGCCTCTTTATTTTTTAAAAGTATAACTGGACAGCTGTAAGGAAGATTATAAATCCACAGCAGAAGCAAAATTAGGCAGACCTCGGAGGAGTAGATATTGTCCAAAGGAGAGCACTCAGGTTAGTTATTCTGCTCTCCTCACAATTTCCTTTCTGTTAATAGAACTGTTGCTTCAGGGAAGTTGGTTGTTTTACATTTTAATTGTGAGACCTGATTCTTTAAACTTGTGCCTTGCAGTGTGACTCGGAGTAACAGGCACTCACATATTTTTACTGAGTTTCAACAGTGCAGAATTATATATTTTTCCCAACTCCAAATCCACTTCCTGGAGGGGCAGTGGCATGCGGTGTGATGTTAGCACAGACAGCATTTAAGACAACACACTATTATCTAATTTTTAAAGAACTCCTCGAAAGCCCTTACAAAATACAGCTGTTTCATGGACTGAACTCTGGAAGTCACTCCACTTGGAAAGGGCGTATTTATGATCCAGGAGTTCAGAACTTCTTAGGAATAACAGTCCAGGAATCAAAAGATTTCACGGAGGAAAGGTAATACGGGGAGGGGGTCCACCGTTTTCTTTGGCGATCACCACTGCTTCCTCTTCTCCAACCTAGGAAAAGTGACAGCTTGCTTTTTCTTCTGAGTCTAGACACATGTAGCAGCACAGCCAGCAAGAACTAAGAGCAGAACCTGGTTAGGACATGCTGGAATCTGAAGGAAGGGGCTACGTTAGCTCTGAGGGCAGGACAGGGACCCTGGGCCATGGCTGGCAGTAGGTATAAAGATCCGGGCAAGTTTGGGTGTGGTTCCAGGGTGTAAGCTATTTCCCCACCTGCCATATGCTATATTCAGCTGAGTGTGTGTGGACATGTAACCAAACACAGATCGCAAAATGCATAGCTAATGTTCAGTAGAAACAAGAACATTTCAAGAAATGTATTGGCATTGTATTGGCAGCTACTCAAGCCAGCTGTCCCCCACCCCCATTCATTCATTTATACATTCGTTATTGGAGACTTACAGACAGATGGAAACCAGCAAACCAGAGTCCCCCATTCGTAACCTGGATCGCCTCCAAGCCTTCCCACCTCAGAGAAGTGCTTGCTTGGGCACTTCTGTCAGGTGAGTGAATTCTACCAGGCTATCAGGCAAACCTACATGGTCGCATCCCAGGTGTCTCTGCTCCTCTTGCTTGCCCTGGATTTCCCATGATTTCAATCACATTTAGTGAGTAATTGTTTTATTATATCTTCATTATTAAGGAGTTACCACCTGAGTCAATTTTATAGAGGAAAACTGCCCGGCTCCACAGCATGAACAGGAGGGAGGTTTAAGAGCTGCCTGGCATTCCTCCAAGACAGGGTGGCTCAGGGGGAGCCAGATTTACAAATACGGCAAATAATAAAAAGTCTTACCATTCACTGTCCAAGTATGGAGACGTGCTGTGCATGCCCTCAGCTAACAGTTAACCCTGTGCTCAGGGATTATGGGCCACATTTCCAACTCTCCCCTCCCGCCAAGTCCTGCAGCTTCTCTTGGGTACCTGTCCTCATGACATGCAGTTAAAAATGAGGGAACAACTCGACAGAACAGGAGTGGAGTTGTTATGCAGGTGGGTATAATGGTGACGACGTACCTCTCCAGGTGGACAGAAGGCTTCCAGAGAACATAGTCAGGGTTGAGAGAGCAAAAATTCCCACCAGAAGCTCCCCCTGGATCTCCCGATCCCTTACTCAAGGCCACTCTCAGGATGTTCCCACTTCCCACCATCGCCGGGCCCCCTCCTAAGGCTGACTTTCCAATCTCAAGCTGTCTTACCTGAAGAGTTTTGACTTTGCCCAGGATGCTGTCCTGTGACATTGCTTGAACTGTCTGCTCACTTTCTGCTCCCCCATCAGGGATAAAAATACTGTCATGGGAAAATGCCCGGGTTCCCATAGAATAGTTGAAGGACCTGGAATGCAAATCATGTGCTTCATTTTATTAGGATGATAATAATTCTTTTGGCAATTCAGCTTCCTGTTCCTCCTGATTTAGGGGACTCCCCCTACAATCCCTGTCTCATTCAGAAAGCACTTCCAGCATTGTGTCCTTTTCTGCGAGGGGTCAGCCAAGTAGCTGGGTGGGAGAAAGGGTCTCCCAGAAATAAGGGAGCATGTCTCCAACACAAGGTTTTAGAGCCACTCAAGGAGAGAACTCAAAGACAGCTCTTGACTTGTAGAGGACCTGGTACCCGAGGCCCTGGCAGGAATTGTAACTGGAGGAGCCCATGTCCTGACGAGCCTGACGAGCTGCCGCTATCCATTTTCCCCCAGTAAGTCCTGTCAACCAGCACTTTTGAAGTCACATGCAGATCTAGAGGTTAGAGGCAAGAGATTCTCTTTCAGATGACAACCAAATTGTTAGAAAGACCTGTACATCTAAAACAAAGACTTGACAGAGCCCAGAATTGCTGGTAGGGCCTACAGGTAGAGTCTCTGGGGCTGGACTTGAAAAGAAACGAGAGTTGGGGCAATCCCGATGGGCTTCACGCACACTGAGCGGCTTGTAAGTGGTAGGTACCCAACAGTAAGCACGTTTCAGTTGAAGCGTTGTGCTTCATGGAGTCTGGACTTCCACCTGGCGGGCGGGGGAGGGGGGCCTGCAGGAAGAGGAGCAGCAGCAGCTCACTGTTCCTCACTCAGCCTCGGGTACTAACTGCTCTCTGGGAAGGCTGCTCCCAGGGGCGGGCAGAACCACACCCTCTCTGGGAGGCAGGGCAGGTACATTCCCATGGTGCCAGGTGCGCGGGCAGACTCCCGGGTGAGAGGGCCCCTCCCTTAGAGCGGGGTCCGGCCTGGAGCTTTTATCAGTGACCTGGGGCCAGCACTGGGGGGAAAGGCGCCTCCGGCTGGGCCTTCTGAACTCAATCACAGACGTGCAGCGGGCAGGGTCCTGACCAAATCTAGATGGAGTGAGGAAGGCTGAGTACCAAATCCTGTCTTCGAAAAGCATATGAGGTTGAGAAACGAAAGACCTGGATGCGAGCCTCCTGGCTGGGTGATCCTCGTCAATACCAGTAATAGCTGCCTCCAACCCCCACCCTGATGAAAAACCACCGAGAGTTTTACTCTGGTCATTTCAACCCCAACCCCTTGTTGCAGATGGAACTTGGGGCAAATAACCTTATCTAAAGTTGTCCGAATAGAAGTCGTAGATGAGAAAATGAGCTGCGGAGAACCGTCTCTCACCAGCCAGTGGAATTTTTCAAAGCAGCGGAAGGTCTTAGAGTCTTCCCTCTAGTGAGTGAAAGAGGGTGTGGGGGGGCCAATGGGAGGGGAAACCAGACGCAAATGCCACGTGGGCTGGAACCTGGGAGGATTAGAGAGATACTAAATAGCTAGAAGAACGGGTAAGCTTTCAGCTAGATAACACCAGACAACATACAGCGGCAACCCACTTTATGAAATAGGAGGCACTGTCTAGGATATGAATGTGACAAGAATTAAATATCTCCTTATCTCCCTGTCTTCAGAGACTCTATGGCCTATGTTACAAAATGAACAACCAGGTTTACCTAAAGAAGCTATGAAATAAACTTTTCATCTAGTTACAGAATCAAATCTTTTATAGGAAGTGCCATCAGAAGAGAATCAAATCTTTTAACATTCCGTCTAAACTTATCAGATTCCTGGCTATGATTCAGATGGGAGAAGACACAACCAACTTCATGTCTACACAGTGTTTTTACAAGTGGCTTAGGCACATATACATGCTTTCAAATATCCTTACAAACACATATATACACAAGTCATTTTAGAAGCTTAATAAATGTTTACTAACAAATGTGTACTACAGTTGAGTGGCCACATCACCCTGGTGGTAGGCCAAATCCCATTCCAGTTTCTAAGGCAACCTTGACTGAATCATGAACTTGGTCTCCCTGATCCCATTCTTTTTCCAGGTAGGCTAAGAATCGACACTCCTACTCTTCTGTGTTACCCCAAATGTTCCTTGCTGCCAACCACAACTGAATGTCCATCCATTCCTCACTTCCAGATAATCATACTGACAAACAGAGAAAAATGAACAGTAATGATAGCAGTAGTGATAATCACAGTAACAGTGGCAGTCACAATGGTAATATTAATACTGGCTAGATTTTATCGGACACTTGCTGTGTCCCTTGCGTGTGTGCTAACGTCTGCAGGGTAATATCTGAGTCCTTTTGACATATAATATTTAAGCCGTATGTGGTAGGCAGTAGTATGAAGCCTATTTACAGAAGAGGAAACTAAGGCTTGAAGACAGTGGGTGACTTGCAATGAATGAAGTGACTGTATACATGTGGATCTGTTTCTGGTCTCATTTCCATTGGTCTACTTGTCTATTTTTACTGCAATAATCCCACGCTGTCTTAATTACTAAAGCTTTTTAATGAGTGTTGGTATCTAGTAGTTTAACTTTTTTTTTTTTGTCAAGATGGCTATTCTTATCTCTGCATAAATTTACATACATACACACACTTCAACACACTCCTAGAATTGCTTTTGTGATGGCATTAGATCTACAGATAAATTGTGGGATAACTAACATCTTTACAATACTTGATCTTTTAATCCATGAGCATCAGATATCCCTTCATTTGTTTAGATCCCACTTACTTTCCCTCAATAATGTTTCGTAGTGTTGTGTGTAGAGGCTTTATACATATTTTGATAGATTTATTCCTACATATTTGATGTTTGTATAGCCTAAAATTTTTATTTTTTAATTGTTTATTGGTGGAATATTAAATTACAATTGATCTTCACATATTGCTCTTAGCTTAGCTAAATTTATTAATTATAATAATATGACTTGATTCTTTTGGATTTTCTATGTATATAAGCAGGTTGCCTGTGACAAAAGGCAGTTTTGTTTCTTCATTTTAAATCCATCCTTCCTTCCTTTTTTCCCTCCCTTCCTCTCTTGTTGGTCACATTTCATTATCTAGGAACTTCACAAAGTTGAAGAGAAGTCACGATGGTAGACTTGACATATTCTTGAACTAAGCAAAAACGCATTCAATATTTTACCATTAAGTTATGCTGTAACCTATAGAGTTTTTGTAGGTTATATCACTGCTTCTTCGAAAAGACAGGCAGTCTATCATCTTTTATTTATAGCTGATATTAAGATTTTTCTCTTTGCCTTGGTTTACAGCAGTTTTACTCTCTTGTGGCCAGTGTGATTTTCCTTTAATTTATCTAGCTGGGGATACATAATACTTCCTAAACCTGTTGCTTGTGGCTTTCATCAGTTCTGGAAAATTCTCAGCCTTCAAATATTGCCTCTACCCCCTTTTTCCTTTATTGCTCCTCTGATTCTCTGATGTTAGAATGTCTCCCCATGAGCCATATGTCCTCATGCTGTTTTCTGTACCTGTCAATTCTTTTTACTCAGTATGACTAGTATGGATTTTTCTTTTACTTTTTTAAGATTTTATTTATTTTTTTGTCAGAGAGACAGAGAGGGTGCACAAGCAGGGGGAGTGGCAGGCAGAGGGAGAAGGAGGCTCCCCAGTGAGCAAGGAGCCCAATGAGGGACTTGATCCCAGGACTCTGGGATCATAACCTGAGCTGAAGGCAGACGCTCAACCAACAGAGCCAATCAGATGTCCCTTAGTATGGATTTTTCTACTGACCTAGACTTCAGCTCATTAATTCTCTCTTTAGTTGTATCTAATCTGCTGTTAAAATGATCTATTGAGCACTTAATTTCAGTAGTGTTTTTCATATCTAGAATTTCCATTTGATTCTTTTTAATAGATTGCAGTTCTCTGGTAAAATTCTCTATCTTGTCAACTATTTTATTGAATGTATTAATCACAATTATTTAAATATCTGAAACTCCAATATCTTTTATCATCTTGGGGTCTACTTCTACTATTTTGTTTTTCTCATAGTCTGTTTCTCAACTGGTAATTTTTTGATTGAATTCTATATATCAAGAATGAAACATTATAGAGGCTGGGTTCTCTCCTCCCAGAGAGGACTCACCCAATCCTTCAGCCATTAGTGGAGGAGCAGATCACCTCAATCGTGTTAGGGACTGAACTGACCACAGCTGGTTAGCAATCTTTATAAGGCTCAGACTACCTCTGCTTTGTCCTCACTTCTAAGGTACAGGTCTCCTGTTGTCTCAACTGACAGCCTGGGTTGCTTCCTAAGGTCCCCCTCCTTGGTAGACCCCAATTTTCATCTTTCCAACATCACAGACTGTCAAAAGCTCTGCCTTGCCTTCCAGCCTCTATCCTTGTGCAGCTTTATCAACAAATTCATCAGAAGGAAAACTGTTGCCTAGATTTAGATTCTTTCTTGAGTTTCTCTTCTCTTGGGTATTTCAGTCCTTCAAGTCCTGGCTATCTCGGCAGCCACAAACTCCAGTTTTTTTATTCCAGGCTCCAGAAGATTGCCTACAGCTCTGCTCTCTTCTCCTCTTGGCAGTCACTCTCAGGCTTTTTGGTCTCTTGCTCTCCACCAGGAGTCACCTAATGCCCACAGGGGAGAAGCAATATGCAGAAAGTTGGGCTCAATTCAGTGGGCTTCCATTCTCTCCAGTATCTTGTTGTTCAAGTCTGATGCATTCACAGCAATCAGATGCCTTTAAACAGATGTCTTTGTTTAAATATTCTATCTGCATTCCTAGTTGTTCTTGGTGGGAGCACTGATTTGCAACATGCTACTTCATCACAGCCAGAAGCAGAAGTGATTAAATAACTTTTTGATATTTATGAAGTTTCTACATTTGTCAGAACCTACTTATTTATATGGCTATGACTCTTAAGAGGATTACTTTTCAAAGTGAGCAAAAACATTTCTACCTTTTTCTTCTTAGATCTAGTTTTTGTCCTATTTTAAAGCTCTGAGAAGAAACAGCGGAGGAGAATGGTAACTGGTTTATTAGTTATATGAATGAACACTCTCCTCTAAA